AGTGGGGGAAAGTAAAGTAATGACGTCACAGCTGTAGCGTTGCGATTGGTTACGTCACTTGGCTGGGCTTGGAATCGGCCTGGTGATAGGTTATTTTATACATTCCCCCACTACCAGGATACTACCATCCGCGATTTTCCAAAGTTGTAGGATTTTGCTGGCCACGCGGTGCCTGAACGAAGTTAACTGCATTTTTTTCACACTTGTTTCGGGCAGATCGAGCGAACAGGAAAGTCGTTAGTTTTCTGACGAATCGTCTTGCATAATCTGTTCACAGGTACTACTTAATTTTGATGCCTCTCTTGTGCTTGGTAATGCCAACGGTTGTGCCGGTTGTATGCTGGGGCGAGACGTGGACGAACGCGTACTTTGTCGCGGCGATTTTGCGCTACGCTATCACGCTGAATGCCACGTGGCTGGTCAACTCCGCGGCCCATCTCTACGGGAACAAACCATACGACAGGTTGGTGTACCATTCTCGATGAATGAAGAAAAATGGTCCTCAGCTCCGTCACCTTTACCTTTGCGTTCTGCATTTCTTGCTTTCTTCCTTATGTTTAAAAAATGTAATAAAGATGTGTGTGCATGGCCGTAGCCAGGTTATCAATCGGATGGCGGAGGGGATTTAATTTTTTTTCTTCTTCGAAGACTCACATTCGCTCTGATTGGTCGGGGTTTTTCGTTAATATCTCGTTAACAATGTCCCGGATAACATTTTTGCTAAGGAAAAACTTGTGCCAAATCACCTCACGAGTGACCCACTTCAGGGAACTACAACACTTTTGTTACATTCTGTATACTTTGAAAATTCCTTTTGTATAATAGGTATAGTATGAATAGTAGAATTACGGCTCTTTCTTTAGCATGATCTCGCCATCCATCCCTACATACGTAATCGCTTTTCTCATGCTCAGATTACACTTTAATTATTCAACATTAATTTTTAAATACCAGGAAAATACAAGTACCTGTATTTCTGTATTTTTATGTAAACCAGAGCTCCAATGTAATAATAACATTTGTTGTACGCAATTCTTTGTACGTTAAGTTTTTATTAAGTACATTAATTAAGAGGGAGAATTAGGGACATTAGGAATTGTGACATTTACCATAATTGTGTTTGCTATAAATGATAAACGATTGGATGTCCTCTCCCTGATGTGGTACGAATCAGCTTGTGATTAATTGAATGTATTTGTGCAATGGTGGAAATGCAGAGTTTTGGTTTGTTTATGTTGCCTGGGTGTCATAGTACGAGATGGAAGGAGTGGGGCTTAGCGTATGTGTTGCTTTCAAGGATTCCTGGAAGTCAGCGTCGAGATTCAAATGAATAACTGTTCTTAAGGGCAGCAAATATTTTACGCTTGTGACGTGCAACTGTCCAGGAATCCCCCGTTTACGATGATTTGACGACCGTATTGACGGACCAAAACACGACGATCGTTGCTAATATTGCCCACCTACGTTCGGTCGCAACGCTTTCCGTTCGAGTAATAATTACTTTTTAAAGTTTTCTTAGGTGGTCCGTTCGTTACTTACAATTTTTCCTCGTTGCTCAAGCATCGTTTAATTCGTTTCAGATTCATGAACCCCGCCGAGAACCGGATAGCAAACATAATGACGATTGGCGAGGGATATCACAACTATCACCACGTGTTCCCGTGGGACTATAAAGCGACCGAGTTAAACGGATATGCGTTGAACTGGACGACAGGTTTCATCGATTCCTGGCTGAAACTCGGTCTGGCATACGATGCGAAAACGGTCACCAAGAGCACTATACAGAAACGAGTCGAGAGAACAGGCGACGGTAGCCATCAGCTTTGGGGTTCGGGTGGCAAGTTTCAGACGCAGAAGGAAAGCAAGGACACGGTTGTGATGCACAGTCTGAAGAAGGATCACTAGAAAACGATCCGCAAAATGATGGATTGTTCCCTATGTGAGACATACAACGGTTAATTCTTTGTGCAGTTAATATCAACAGGAACAGGTTGATTCTTTTGAGAACCGATTCGAACCAATTTTAGATTTACCAATTGAATAGTTTTAATCGTACGATCACGGAAACGCCACTTACCTACAATCTTTCGAAATAATCGCTCGTAATAAAGCGTCTAAACTTCCTAGTGGCTCCCCACAGTAGAACTCATTCGCGAGAACTGGACTTCTGCTGGCTCCCTAGAATTGAGCTTCAGGAAAATCGTCATTCCTCAACTGGGCAGCGCTGGTTCGCAAGGTATAATGAGGCAAATGAACTATGTTTTGTTACTAAACCGGACGGGGGTGGTTTAATTCTCTTCCTGTCTCGTGTTAGAATTATAGATCGATTTTTAATTAGTACGAACGCTATGTTTTTTTCTCGACTTTTCCATTTGGTTCCCAGAGTCGAGAAGAAAATTGTAAGCTACAACCGCATGTTTGGTTGTTTTAGTTCCAATAAAGGCACGCATGAAATGAAACGTATTGTTTATTCGTACCTCTACTTCCTCTTTCGTAGCGGAATATTTATAAGATTGGGATAATAAATTAAAACATACATAGTATAAGCGAAAATTATTACTGCACACTGCAAATGTGCTCGTTACGTTCAATTGTACATTATTGCTTCCTTTCGACATTACTACTTTTTGAAAATAATTTTCGATCACTTCTTCCAACCCATTGTAGTAATCGTCTTTTTTCATGTTTTTGTTCTATTGCGATCAGTATTAACACTGATGCCTACACTAAATCAATTATTAGCACTATAACTAATTATTAATGTTAGATATATTCATTATTGTAAATATTAATAAAATTAAAAATTACAATAGTTGAACCGCTACTTTGCGGATCAAAAAGTAACCTAGTCATCTAAATAAGTGTTACAGCCGGGTAGAGAGTGATCCTTGGTGAAAAAATAAGTCGAAAATGAACAATAAAATGGTTTCATTTTAGGCTTCGTTTTCGAAAAAATCGTTTTTGAATATTAATCTGAAACGCGTGTAGTAGTCACGGTAATAAGTAGAAATGGAATGCAATGAACAGACACGTTATTTCATTGGGTTTCGAATTCGACGATTATCTCGAAAACGAAGTCTCAAATTCAAAAATTTTATTGTATATTTTCGACTTAGTTTCTCGTCGAATAGATCACCCTCTATCCGGTTGTACCGCCCGTTATGTGACGACTTATGTATGCAGGGTGTGTGATTTACCTGGAACCGTGTAAATATTTTAAAAAATATGGATGACACAAAAAAATACTTTAGACAAAAATTGTAAGGTATTAAAAAGCACATATGATGCCTTATTTTATTTGACTTTGCAAAGACCTTGAAAAGCTTTATGAAGGTTATGCTTAAATTTTTAAACGGGAACCTATATTTTTTGCTACATATTCTAGTAGCTGATATTAAAACATTCTCAAAACACTACCTATATGTGCATCTTCCGCTAGCCAATATCAAGTCATTAATTTTCAAATCTGATGCGTCGTCGGCTTTAGCGACGTGCAAAGTTCGAACGAACAATTTCCCAGCGGTGTACGTTGAGTAACGTTAATTCCGGCGGAACATCAGATTTGCAATTCGATATTTTGACTTTGCTAGCGCATAATACACGCGAAGAAAATAGTAAACGTTACTTTTTACGACTATTTTATCTGAGACCGTAATGGAAATTTAATAAGTACGTTTCGAAGATTTATATTAGTTATATTTTTATTAAATATTTAGCTGTTTTTGTTCTGTTTTAGTTCATTTAGTTGTGACTATGTACGCCACAGCGCGATTGGATCGGCCGAATAGTTCCTAATATGTGCGGTCGCCTGACTTGAAAAACCTTATTTCGAAGAAAACGCATTAAAAACTTCTACTTATCGACGCGCATTACGGGAGGTGCTACCTTTGGACCCCTATATTTCTGCTAATAATTCGAATTTAAAAAAAAAACACTTTACATAAATATTTATCGCACTAAAAATTACGAAATATCTTTACGAGATCTCTCACGGACGAGGTTTTTGAAGAAGGGGGTCTGCATAAAACAAATTGCTGTAAAGCTTCCTTAAAATGAAACTTTTTTTGTTGCATATTATTTTGAATATTATTTCTTTTGCCAAATTTGAAATACAAAAATAACAAAATAATTTATTATTTGAAATTGCTATTATGTTAAATGAATCGATAATATTTTTATTTTCAAATAACTGTATCGACAGCAAAGTTCCGAAATAAATTATTTCAACTAGTTATTTCTTATTTTCATTTCAAATAAGTATGTCCAGGTCTGATTCACGGAAACATAAGAGGTTATGATATACCTTGACCTCGCGAAGTTTAGTGTCGAAAAAAAATCGTGTCTTTTACGACTAGAAATATCTATTTCACGTGTACCTAGAAACACGTGCGCACGTGTAATTAATATATTCGTGCTTTAATTCGTGCAATTTTTAACACAGAGATACACGTTTATCAAAGTAAACTGGTACACGTATATTTTAATTCATATGATTATTATATGTATATCTAAATACCCAAATATTTGAGTAAATTTACGCCAGTCATTTGCAAAACGAATGTACGCAGAACATATTATTCCAGTAAATGAAACTATCTATTGCCAGAAAATGTCGACGCATGAGTTTTTATTTTGTATATCAAAACAGACGATTGCTTGAATAAAATTTTTAAACCGAAATTATGTTGTTTTCACCTGTTACCTGCAACCTAGCAAATCGTATATTTGTTTTACAAATTACTTGCATAAATGTACTCAAATGTTCAGGTGTTTGGTTACACATTAATAATCACACGAAATAAACATGAATACGCTTGGTCGAAATGTCATCTGCGAGTTCGCGCAGAAAAACATGCTTCATAAAATTATTTTACAGTAAAAACTCACACAATCATTTTTCGAACGCTTGTGGGGGACAATTTGCATGAACGAGTCGTTACGTGAATTCGCGCAAAAAAGGTACAGAAGTGTCTAGTAAAATCAGTTTATGTAAGAAGCTGGCACTGATCAAGTTTCGAACATTTGTGTCGAATGCTTGCGAGGAACAAGTCACCAGTGAGTACTTTTGCTTCAAGTGTTCATCTGTTTTCGCCGTTTCTGCTTATCCAGTGAATTTTCATCGTGTTTTCAGGTGCAGGGAAATCGGAACCTCGACGATTAGCGAGCTTGTCGGAAACTGAATTGTAAAGATTATACTTAACATCAAAAACTTAAATAAATGTATTTTATTATGAACGGAAAAATGAAAATGTCGATGATGAAGAAGGAGATCAATCTAAGATTTTTTTGAGGGGGTAGAAAATGAAGATGATGATGAAAAGTCTGAAGTATTTTATTATCCAAGCCTATTTTTTTTTTCATTATTATAGGCTTTCATTTCAACTGATATGATAACTGTTCAGACCATGAATTTTATTTTTATATTTTATATATTATATTTTATTATTACCTTGTGGTAATAGGTCGACGTGATTTCGATGTTCTTGAAATTTTCAAACCATTTTCTATTTTCGTTCGCTGTTCGTTTAGCAATAGTTGACGTTTGTTCGCAGAAGCATAGAAAAAATGGCGCCAAACGTTACAAGTACCCAGACCGGAGTGCTATTCGAAGAGGACACACTCGAGGAGTCCGCACCGGCTCAACCGTCAAAGACGAAATACGAGATACGCATCGTCTGGAGGAACGTAATAAACTTCACGTTCTTTCATTTAGGCGCCCTTTACGGATTGTATCTCGTCTTGACGTCCGCCAAACTATTGACGACCATTTTCGGTAAATGTGATAAATCTTGCAACTCTTAGAGCCTCTCGCTTCATCCATCAATACGTACGAAACGAAGGAAGAATATTCGCAGGGAGCTAGCAAATATTACATCGTATCACTTGGATTACGGATGTTACGCTCATACGATTTATATTTACGAAAATTACAAGTAAACTAGATCGATGTGATCGTTAGTAGATCGAACAGCCGGGAAATCGTGTGGCAAATTATCGCTCTAATTCTTAATCTCCACTAGTAAAGGTCGCTTTTTATGACTTTTTTATCTGAGACCGTAATGAAAACTTAATAAGTACAGTTCAAAGATTTATATTAGTTATATTTTTACTAAATATTTAGCTGATTTTGTTCTGTAAAATTAATTTTTTGTAAGATAAAAACTCGTCTGTGGTTCCAACTGTAGCCAATTATGTTGTGCATATGTACGCGAAAGTGTGATTCGATCGACTCAGTAGTATCTGATATGTGCATTCGCCAGACTTGAAAAACCTTGTTCCAAAGAAAACGCATTTAAAACCTATCTCCACTAGCTTCTAAACCGAGAAAACCGAGTTTAAAGTTTACGAAGTTTAATATTATAGAAGCAGGGAAATAGTGAAATAATCAAACACACTATAGTATCATCTACTGATTAGCTATTTATTACAATATGTAATAAAGTTTTATCTTATTATCAATATAAATTTTTAATTGTTGTTAATATTTGGAGATACAACCTTTAAGAAAATAAATATTTGTTGTTTTCTAGGTTGAGTTTTCTTTATGTTATGGTGAATTTATATTCTTTGGACCAATAAGACGCACGTGGGTTGATTAATTAATTTTGTTTTTAAATAGTTTTGGAACAGTTAAGAACTGTAGCGACGATGTCTACCTACCTTATGGTTTCACGCATATATGTATAATATCCTGCCTGCTTAATCAAATAAACTCGAATCGCATTGCTACTGTTACCTGAAATAACACCGATGATTTAAAGCGGTATTATGAGAAGTGTTCATGCATGATCTGAAGCTTCGTTTCAAAACACTTTGATAAATACAGAATTTACACTATACAAAAATATATGTCACCGATCTGTCACGTTCGATAATAATTTGATCTAGCGAAAAAGTTGAAAAACACTGTCGAATACGTTGTTCATAATTTTTTGTTTTACTTTGTTGGTTCGCAGCGTTCTTTCTATACATAGGAAGTTTTCTGGGAATCACCGCCGGCGCACACAGATTATGGTCACACAGATCGTACAAGGCAACGTGGCCGCTACAACTACTCCTGATGATTCTGAACACCATAGCTTACGAAGTAAGTAAAAGTTAAAATTATTATTCTGGCGTAATTTCCTATCTGATTATTTTGTAACACCGACACTGTTGATGTATATAATCAAAAGTTTCTCTAATCTGCTAGTTTACACTTTACAAATTTTATAGGATATATCCCGTAAAAATTCTCGAGAAATTACACAATCGAGAAATTAGCAATCAAAAGCAACACTGTTTTTCGAGAAATTCTCCGGGAAGAATTCTTGAGAATAAACACTATTTATCTACCGTGAATCGACTCGACATTATTCGTTCGTTCATTTTATATTTCGGCAGGATGCAGCGATGGACTGGGCCAGGGATCACAGAGTTCACCATAAATACAGCGAGACGAACGCGGATCCTCATAACGCGAAGAGGGGATTCTTTTTCTCGCACATTGGCTGGTTGTTGTGCCGAAAACATCCGGACCTAATTGAGAAAGGGAAGGGGATCGACATAAGCGATCTGAAAAACAATTCCATACTTACGTTCCAGAAAAGGTAGGTCTTGTTCGATCGTTCTCTTTATAACCACGGCGGCCAAACTGTGGCTCGTAAACCGCACACGGCTGTTTAATACTAGAACTACCGATGATAAACGCATATCTGTTTCGATCGGTCGATGAACCTGAGAAACTTTTGAAAATTTATAAATTCATAAATTAACTAATTTCTTCACTTTCTGATCGTAGTACAACTGGCAAATGATTATAGCCTATAAGGCTCTGTGAAATACAATAAAAAACAAAACTTTCATCGGATCCAACGAGTTTTCTATTTCATAAAAATAGATCGCCTCACGAATGTCCCATTTCAGGGTCCTGGAACATTTTTGTTAAACCCTGTATAAGACGACTCGTGACGATTGCAGAAAAGTGATTCCAAAATATAGAATGCAGTTCTTTTCGAAAGCAATTAAATTTACCGTTAAGCCCGTAATATTTCATCAATTAAACCTTCACATTTGAAGATGTTTGTACATAGAATTATTTGTTTTCCTGTTATGGTAACACTCGTTACATAAATTCTGCATTTGTTTTTTATTTACTTTGGGTAAAATGACGCCGGAAGAATCTCCACTTTTCCTTAAAAAAAAAAACGTCTGCGTGCGATGCATTCACAGGTACTACAGAATTTTGATGCCCCTCCTGTGTTTCATCATGCCGACTGTTGTGCCGGTTGCGTACTGGGGTGAGTCATGGACGAACGCGTTCTTCGTCTCTGGTCTCCTGCGCTACATTATCACGGTGAATTGTACGTGGCTGATCAACTCCGTGGCGCATCTCATTGGGAATAGACCGTACGACAGGTTGGTGTATCATTTTCTATGAACAAAGAAAAACGGTTTTCCTTCGTCATCTTTACCTTCACGTTCTGCCTTTCCTACCTCCTTTTTTTCCATTCTGTTCCTTGTGGATAGTGTCCTATAGATGGTGGCGATAAAATCGTGGTATTATCGGAAGAAGGATGATTTTTTATAGAATTATATTTCGAAATTGTATTAAAAACAGTATCAGTCAAGACTGTCTCCATTGACTACATAGTTTCTCTGTTGAAGATAAGAATCCTTGCGATTATTATTGAATAAATATTGAAAGTAGGATTCAATATTTATTGAGGTATTCAATAAATATTGAAAACCTTGTAATTATAACTAAAGTTTACCCCTCACTCACAGAGAATGCGATCACTTTTTTATCCATGCGAACTGTACTGTACATAAATCATTAATATTACTTATAAATATACTAATTAATTTACCTTATTAACCATTTCATTATTTACTTTATATTATTCCTTACATTGACGGTTATATTAATATAGTTATTTTTCATACTGATGTACATAGTCGTTTTTCCTATTCAACTTGGTATTATGTATGTAATTAATTTTGTCTTGCAAAAGAGAAGTCTTTGTTTTTGTTCAATTAATTTAGTATTAGTAGTGGTTTTTATAGTTAATATAATAGTAGGGACACGTGTAGTTTACGTTATTCTACAAATTCTTGTCGGAGACTTACAACCTCCGTTGGTTCAGGTTTACCGGAGCTATCGTTTTTCGTAGCTCCAGTTCGACCTGCATTACCCGTCACTACCCGTATACGAATGACAAACTAGTCGTTCAAATACGCATCCACTATAACCGTAGCCTAAGAATGGTGACATACCGTACACGTTGAAACCTTCAGCAATATGAATCCTAGTCCATCTGTGACGTTCAACGAACACCGTTTCATTAATTACAGAAATATCAATCCCTCCGAGAACAAGATGGTGTCCATGCTGGCAGCAGGCGAGGGATGGCACAACTATCACCATGTGTTCCCGTGGGACTACAAAGCGGCCGAATTGGGCGATTACAAGTACAACATAACGACCGGTTTCATCGATCTTTGCGCGATGCTCGGTCTGGCTTACGATCTGAAAGTGGTCCCAAAACACTCTGTACAGAAACGAGTGCAGAGAACCGGCGACGGTAGCCACGACGTTTGGGGTTGGGGCGACAAGGATCAGACGCAGGAAGACAGGGATCAAACGGTGGTGATGCATAGTCAGAACAAGGATCGCCAGTAATGTGCCGCGAACTAGCCACGATCCATTCACTCGTTCGATCAACGCCGACCAATTCTTTGTATATTTCAATGGACATGGGACGGATCGAGATATCTGAGAATCAATCAAAACATTTTGGGATAACACTTATGTGAGATTCGAAGGGGTTTCGTCAATCAAGATGTGAAGTGTAACATAGAAATAAAATGCATTTAACTCGGTATAAAATAATATTAAATAATAACTAAAAGAAAATAAAACTAAGAATAATAGACGATGAAATGCAGCAATATCTAAGATCGTCATATTGACCTTTAAACAATTCATGGGATTAAATAATTTGTTGCCGAGTGTCTACTTATTTAAGAGAAACTACTATTTTGTTAAATTGTAATTACCGCGTTTGATCAATAAAAAGTGACGAAACTCGATAAACGAATACTTTCTTTAATTGTGAAAATGCAGAAAATATTTTATACGTAATTTTAGTGGGCAGTTTTCTGCGGGTGTTGTTTTTTTCAAATGTCTTTTCTCCTCAAAGTTTTCGAGGTCACCGATATTGTTTTTTCAAATATCTACGAATTTAATTAGGTCGTATCATAGTACATATCTCCATATGTTTTGTAAAAAAACATCGATTAGCTTGAAAACATTGTGGATAAAAAAGTGAAAAAAAAAAACATGATACTAACCACTTAATACCATCGAATTATATAACATCGTGTTATGTAACATTTTCGTTTCTGCTTTTCTAACAAACTTCATTACTTTGCTGTACAGGGTGGTCCACCAGAAGTCGAACACCTAAATATCTACTTGGATAGTTATAAAAGTATGTTTCGACTCAGAGTGCACTGTTTTATGGGTGCAATGCGCTGACAGGAAATTCACTTTTTATCGAAGCCAATTTGTAAAGGTATCAAAGTTATCGATGTTTCTTTTGATAGGTTCACATATTTCTGTTGTCACAGTGTTATAGACCATGAAAGAATAAATTCAACGATGTAAGAATGTTGACCTTCAACTGACCTTCAGACAAAAATGTGATTTTGTTCTTTCGTGGACTATAACATTACTTCAAGAGAAACGTGTGAATCCGTTTTTATTTATTAAGTTTTATTTAGAAGAAATTTACAATCATCAGGATCATCGGTAGAGTTTGTAATTTTACTGATTCTCCAGGTTGATTAAAAATTAGTAATCATCGATTAATATTTTACTTTGCTCAATAGGACATAAGGATACTGCATCGATGGGTATCCAAAGCAGGTAGTTATCGAACAAAATTATTTCTGTAATTTGTCATTCATGTATCATCTCATTCGCAAACTACACGTTAAACATGTACGGAAGTTTTTATTGTTTTCTCAAGCGTAACATACAAAAGGATTTACATTAAACAATTCAATTTAACCTCGATGGTTAAATTCCTTTCCAGAGTGGTTGCGTCGATGAATGATAGGCTTCGATGATCATCAAAGGCTCTTCATAACCGTTTGGAAAATGTTCTATGCGAAATGGGTGTAATTAACCCCTTGCCTTACAATTTTCTTGACGATTGTACTTCCAAGCATTACTTTATCGTTAATAATTTCTCAGATACAAAAGGAATTTTATCTTTAGGGCAAGTGTAACATTTACTCTAAATCTTAAATATTAATAACAATGAAACAGAATTTCATTTCGATTCAAAGAAATTGAATAGTATACATGTTCATTAAATCCACTTTAAAATTATCATCACGTGTCTGTCTCGTTGTTATAAGGCAAGGGGTTAATGGACGTGAAAGCTGAAATTTCCGAGCTTCTCAACGAATCTACACGATGGCGGTAATGGATCGATTATTGGACCACTAGTCGGTTCTTTTTCATGTTGTACTCGGACATCTCTTTGAGCTTGTTCAACGCTCCGTCCATGGTGATCTTTTTCCTCGCCACTTGATGAAGGACATCTCTGATGTCGTTGGAGGTCGTTGTGATCAGATTGTTGACCAGCCCGAGCTCGTACCACATCTTTATGAAGAACGTGCTGCAACCAGAGTCGTACGTGCCGAATTCGCCGCTCTTCAGGATCATATAATGGTAAGCTAGCGACTTGGACTTCCTGACTAAGAAAACGCTGATGCTGTCTGGTGGAATCCTGAAACGAACAGGCAAGTCGATTAACAATTAATACAATATTTTTACTCCTGGTACTGTCACGTATGGAAATCAAAGGTGTGTGAAACGCGTGTGCGCGAAACATTTAACTTACCTTCGGCAATAATAATAAATAATTTTCGGTCAAACTGTAAAAAAGTTACTACGATTTCGATAATTTTTAGATACGTTGTAAAACTCGACATTTCGAACAACTAGGTAGGTAGTTTTTCTACGGTTTCACCAATTTTCTCCTATACAGTAAATCATCGATGAGTGTTCGAAGTCGCCTAAAAAAAACAAACAAATATCAATGGTTTCAGAATTCCAAGCTCCATCGCAGTGCAAAATTTCATTAAAAAGTCAACGTTACATCTTGGGACTTCTCTTTGTCAGTGCAGTAGAGCCTTCGAACACTCCTCGAGGATTCACTGTAATTCGGTCTCTCTATTCGATCATTAACCGATCTCGATTTTCCGTTAGACAAACAGCTGCTGCCCTCTGTCGACTTCCGAATGGAAACGGTTCAAACGGTAAGGTGATACCATCAGAAATTTAAATTAACGAACGCGTTGAATTACAAATGAGTTTCTTTCGAAATGTTTCGAGAACATACAGAGAACATCGAGGCGAACAAGGAAAGAATGTATCGATACACGATCAGTAATCTTACAGTCAAATTCGCGTTTGCATGGTAGTCAATGAACAGTGTCGAGTACACACACACACACACACACACACACACACAATTGTAATGGACGGGAGGAATCGTCTTCAGGAAATATATCGAAGTAATTGATTTTTCGACGTGATCGAAGAGCTTTTCCAAGTCTGTCTATATCCATAAAATTCACCATAATCTGCGTTGTTTATAGCGAAATTCATAATGTCTGTGTTTTCATCCGAGTGTTACAGAAATTCTACAGAATCAGCGTGAAATGGCGGCTTTTATTGTTTATTTCGCGTGCACCCCGTCGCTGTCGATGACCACAGTGCCGTGGCTCTTCGGCATTTTCAGGAATAACGTGTACAATAAACGTAGAGTATCGAAAATGGATATTAACTTATTCCCATGGACGTTCCAGATGTGATACGCGCTGTTCACCAGCCAGGAGACGTTCACCGTAATGGCGAACCGTAGGATACCGGTGATCATCACAGTGAGACCCATCGTCTCGTCCCAGTACTCCAATGGCGCGTTCAGCGGTAACAGTAACCCAAATATACCGAATATCAGCCAGTACAGTCTGAAATTATAACGTGGGAAGCGGTGAGAAATTCTCCTGAGGTGATAAAATAACTGCAAATAAACATGGAACATGGATTCTCAAACGATTCCAGAATTCTTCTCGGTTTGTTACCCTAAATATCTGTTTCTAATGTGCACGAAGATATTGGGTGTACCAATAGGTAGTCCACCATAATTATCTTACTTGTTTTCGATGATAGAAAGAAATGTAAGAGGATAATATTTGATCGGAAGGGACAACTACTGCTAGAGGAAAACAATTATTCTCACGGTCGTAGTTTTCGACATTTCAAGGTCAACGATGTTTTTTTTTTAAATTATCATCGTGGTGTAGTAGTTGAAATTAAGACCAATCCAATGACTTATAAAAGTATGATCTTTATGTGACCTTGAGTATGAAAAATTCACACATGTATGTGGGAGTAGATTGAAATAATAAATTGAATAATAATAAAGTAACTACGATACAGGGGTTAGTGCCGAAAGTTCATTCTAACAAATGCTCAATGCGATGCCTATCAACTTTGATACATTTTTGTAGATGATAATGATTTTTCGTACTTGATCTAGAGATAATAATAATAAATTATAATGGATTTTTCGTACTTAAGGTGATGTGAAGGTTTAAACTGTTATAGGTCATTGGATTGATCTTGGAATCCATTATTACTACACCATGATGATAAAAATATTCTGGTAACATGTTCGCCCTTGAACATGTTACCAGATCTTACTTCTTCTGCGCCCAAACGTATCCGTCGTTCTCGATGTCACGCATGTCGATGTCAATCTTCGCTTGCTCGTAGTCGACCTTCGGCGACTGGAAGTTTCCCATGTAATGACTGTAAAGGAATCCTTTCGTGTGGTTGTACGGGTCTTTGTCGGTCCCGTAATACTTGTGATGAAGCCGGTGGTACAGCACCCAGTCGTATATCGGTCCCTGCAAACATTGAAAGGGAAAATCTTTTAGAAAAAAGATCCACACAGCTAACTGTATCATTATTATATCATATTAAATCATTTCCGTCCGAACCATAGTTTCTCAAGTTTTTTTGGTTCATCGCCCTCTATTAGAAATTTTTTTTTATTAGCATAGTACCCCCTTCGAGTAAACTATCTCTATTATCAAAACTTTCATGTGTTGTTGTGTGTGTAATTTTTGAAACATAAAATGTGTAATTGTACATAAAGAAAATGAAGTAAGTACATAATAAGATCCAAATGTTCGATCGACACAGTGAACTTGGCATACTTACCACTCCGGCGAGGGTGTGAGCCAACGTCAGGAACAATCTGAGCAGTCCGGATGCTTCGTAACTCCTGTGAGCCCATAATCTGTGGGCACCAGCTGTCACGCCGAGACAACCGATGGACGTTATGAATAAGGCTGAAAATTTCATGAAATCATTGCCTGTTACTTCCGAAAAGTCGACTTAGACAGAACCTAGGGCCCTTTTAAAAATTTTGTAAACTATAAATGAATAAAGATATTTAACCCTCGAATGGTAAGGTGGGTTTTAAGGTCGTACTCGGTAAGATGGGGTCGTATCCGACCCAAGTTATAGTTCTTATATCGTCTTTACTCTATTGTTTATTATTTTTTTTTATTCTCCTTTGAAAATATTTTTTATTATTCAGTAAACGTTTAATGCTTACATTATTATAGACTACATATAAATCATTTATTGTTCCTTATTACATAAGTAAACGAAAATAGAAATTTAAGACAATAATTTTTTTACTCGTCTAAAAATATTGAAAAAGAGTTCTTACTGAATAATAAAATATATTTTCAAAGGAGAATAAAAAAAATAATAAATAATAGAGTGAGGACGATACAAGAACTATAACTTGGGTCGGATACGACCCGAACTTTATTGCTAGAGGGTTAACGTTGCAGAAGAAATCACGGTACCAGTGGAACGGAATGTTTAGCTGTTCCACCTATGAAATTTCTCACCGGAATTTTTTCACTTTTCACTGAAGAACATATGTTCCAATGCTAGTGAAATGGTTAAATTGTAAAAAGTGTATAATAACCAACTAAATGCTTGAACGACAAAGTTCTATTAGTGCACGAATTTTTTTCTAGAACAGTCTGAAAATAGTCGATAGATGGAACGTAATCCTATTTTTTTCTAAAGATTATAACGAGTAAATTTGATATAGAATATTTACCCCTCCCCCTCTATAGAATCACATTTGCCCGAATTGCACCGTACTCAATCATTTCTGGTAATCCATGGAAAATATTGCGAATAGTGATTCTCTACAACTTCTAATTGAGATTCAGGGAACATGTGAAATCAAAACCCGTCGATACAGAAAGGTTCCCCAAATCGCAGCTCTAAATTTGATGCTACGACAGTTCGAATTAATCTTCACATTCTTAAAAAAAAAAATATTTACATCAAACGATTTTAAAGTGACAAAAACGGATGGTGGATAAGGTTTTGTCGATCTTAATGAAACGGTATACCAAAAGTTTCGCAAAGTATCTTACTAAAGAGCACGGTCATCCACTTAGCGGAAGTGATCATCAGCCAGATGGCGTATACACCGAGGACGTGCAAGTGAATGTACCAAAGCACCGCCGCCCATTTTATGTCCTGTTTCTTCACCGGTTTCTGCTTCTCGTCCGACATCCTGGTCCACCCGAGAGAAAAAAATCAGAGTTCGCAGACCTTATTAGGAATCGGAAGTAGTAGAAACGAAACGGGACGAAGAAGCGTATGGTGATCGTTATCGTGATCTTTCGGCTCGTTATCTCGTATTTCATTCGAATGCTACCCTCAGTGGTAGTCAGAGATCCTTTATAAGGAACCACTTAGACCAATAATTCATTTAACCCACTCACTGCATCGTTTTGGTATCGTGTACAAAAATCTTTTCTTTTCTCATAAAATCGAAAACCAATTTTAAGACTATTTCAAACTTTCCTTTTGTGAACAATATATTTGTTAACGATAAATAACGGACACGTTAGGAATAGGAGTCACGGTAACGCTGTTTATTCTAATGTTGGTATGTTATTTAAAGACGTTTCACACTACATCTTCTTGGTATCTTGTTCCAAAACATTTTTTTCATAAAATCAAGAACCAGTAGTCATTTTAAGAATATTTCAAACATTAAAAACATCTGTTTTCCATTATCTGAACAATGTATTTACTCACGCTAAATAACGAACGTTTCGATGTCATTTAAGGATGTTTCGTACTGCCGATAGTTAAGAAATGTTCCAAATATTGTCGTTAAAGTGATAAAATTGTCGTCCACTGTGGCGGACAAATGCAGTTAATGGGTTAATAGACGACACCTCGATTTCGACGAAAGGTTCGAGGGATTCTATCTTTACGAGTTCCACGTTTAATCCCGAATTTGCCGATTTACCTTCGCGACTGATAATTATAACGCAAGAGGGTACTGGAGATACTATATTATCCTAGAAGATGAATCGGTGAGATTGAAAAATCAACACACGAGCACCCATGGCTTCGACGAACTCTTTACCTGGTCGATCGTGACGCGAAACGCGTTCCTGAAGGTCCCGAGAAAAACTACGCCGAGTAACGCCGCAACGGAGCTTCGTCGATTGACCCCTCTAGCCTCCTGTACGAATTTCATTACCATTCATTTTACACCGTCATTTCCTTTGTTTCCACGTCAACCAATAAAGATTTGAGGTATTCTTCTTTTTCGAAGTTCATCGGTGACCTCCTCTCCCCCCAGAATCGGCCGATTTTCGTTCACGGTTTATTAGTTCAAGGCGAGAATACGATATAAGAGGATACTTGTATTCTTCCAGACTAGGAAGCTGTGAGATCGAAAGATGGACGGGATTCAGACGGCCATATTTCCGATGAACTTCACCTGTGTTCGTGACACGAAACACGCTTCTGAAAGATTCGGGAAAAACTACGCTGACGAGCACCGCTTTTAAAGGCTCATCGTTCGACCCAGTGGCCTTCGTATGAATTTCATTAACTTCATTAATTTCATAACTTCTCATTAAATTTCATTAACTTCATTAATTTCATTATTTCTCATTAAATTTACTTAACTCTATTAACCTCATTGAATTTTACATTGTTGTTTCCATTGTTCTCATGTCGGCGGTTCACGTTAAGACGGTGCACAGTGGTGGACAATCGTAAAAAATCGGCGAAAATTGAACCATCGGTAAACTGAAATTTTGAATTGTGTTTTTCTGAAATTGTACGCACAGATTCAAATTTAAATGATTTTCCGTTCTTAACTTTTAAATAAATAGGTTAAAACTCACGTTTTTTTGGACTGATAAAACAACGTGCGGACTATCCATCATAAGTTACACAATTTTTTTAAGATCCAAGATAAATGGAATGATTTTTTAAATATATTTACTTTTTAACTCGAGCCTCATTGAACTGTAGTTGATAGTGAAAGATTAGTCATTTCTTATTTAGCTACGAAAAAGGATGTTTTTATCCAAAATTAAGTGGTTATGAATTTTTTTACGGAGATAATTATAGCGTGAAAAAAAAGATACGTGGACGATGAAATAAAATTAAAAATTAAGATCGAAGTATGCAAACTTAGGTTTTCATGGGTATGGTGGTATCTTCCGGGAGACAATAAGGAAACTATTTTTTGTTTTCTGTCATTTAAGTATTTTGAAGTAGTTTAAAATATTAATCATTCAAATTAAATTGGTAAAATTGATAAACAGTATAAAGGGCCAAATGGAGCCCCAGCTAGATACGATACCCAACGCGGAGGCCATTTTAATTGGATTTACATGATTCATTATTCTGATTCAAATTAAAAACTTCACACGGAATAAATCTTTTATGCATTATAATTTGAATATTTCAATTATCATTTGCATCATTTTCATATAGACCATACAAAATATTAGAAACAATGTATTTCTTAGGCTGTACAATTGAGCCCAGAGTAATGTGTTAAACAGACTGTTTTAATACAAAAAGATTCCTCTATTGTAGACTAGAAGTTGAATTAAATGAAATACTGATATGTTTTGTTGATACATAAATGTTTCCGTAATAGTATTTGAATCGAAAATCATAGGAAAGGGTGCGTGACGCTCGAAAGTAAGCGGAAACCAAGTCAAGATTCAGATTCAAATTTATTAGATTCAAAGTTACAAAGCGTTGTACGAATTTATTAACGAATCCGCCGGGTTTCCGGCTCGGCGTCGAATTCATTCTGTCGCATCTTTCTTCGATGATTAATCGACTACTTATTAGTCGCCTCGTTCTTGTAATCTTCCAAAAGTTTTATTATTCGAATCAAATATCTAAATATCTTTTTAAACAAAATATTCACGATTCACCGGGAATCGCACCTCCCGTAATTTTTCTGACTCGAACCATTCTTTCCCTCCCTTTTTTTTTAACATCAGGGTGAATGATCGTATTTCGTTTCAACGTCGAGTCATTTTGAAGACAGGCAACATTATCGCGTGAACAAAAAGGTTCCAGCTGAAATTCATATCGTGTCGGAATTATACATATTTCAGACTTGCAGCTTTGCACAATTGCTACCCTGACCTAATTTTATAATGCATTTCCCTGAGAGCGATAAGAGTAAAAGAAAAATAACTATCCATTACGTGTACCGATAAGTAATTAGGTTCTTTGTGTTAAAACTGTAAGGCGACATATCTTAAATAAAAAATGACCCCTCGATGTTTCGCTGTGTACTAATTCTTTAGCTGTTCGGGATAATAATATAAATTTAACAGTATAGATCCGTGATTCCTATAGAAACGAATACAGATTTCGGCCAAAAATAGTGGATTATTCGTTGGTACACCTATTATTACGACGAAGGCCTGTATTCAGACGATCAGGAATGTGAATCTTACGTCAACGTGTAATAACTCAATCCTTCATCGGTATCATAAATAATTTGCAACGAGCGACTTATCAAAGGTAAAAAAATAAGTTGTCTTGACAGCAATGATTCTAAAGACACTACGTTTTATTCAAAAATCAAAACGATCAAGATGACATGCATTCTCGTTTTCGATTGTAAATACTTTATTGCTATATTAAATGGATCTCGGAACTGGCTAATCCATGTAGATCGCAGTGTTATGTTCGGATGTTAAGGGATACATTTTTGAAAACGTTCTCCATTTACCATTCTCTCGCATTTTCCATATAGAACATCCATTTCCGAACAAGAATCGGACGCAAATTTTTCTCGCAGAAATATTGTTCTATAAAAATAAAAAGCGTTTCGAAAATCAACAAGTCAAAACTACAACACTTTTAAACAATATATCCATGATTCCCTCGGTTAGAAAAAAAAAAGACAGGCTTTCAGTGAAGCCCGCGATCACGCTTCTTCTTTCTCGCCGTTTTGTTCGACAGAAACCACTGGTGTCTACTTATGTAAGTATACCGATCCCTTTGCACGTCGTTCCACCAAGCATAAATTAATTAACTCACGGGATCGAACTGTTCCTCGAACATCACCGTACAAAAGTTTCTTTGGATGTACACTAATTACATCGGCAAGCTAAATGTCACACTGTATTTCCGATCACTAAACGTGCACTCTCGACGTTCGTATTGTCCACGATAAATTCCACTGAAGAAAGATTCGATATTCTTTCGTAAACACAAAACACGACATCGATCGAATCAATTACAGCGAAACTGTAACACGTCCCCTGAATCGAATGTCATTTCACTCAAGGGGATCCTCTGCGATAGATCTCTGTCTCGTTGTTAAAACAAAACAAAAACAAAAATAAAACGTTCGATGCCTCGTCGTTGAACAACGAGATGTTTACTTGTTCTTCTGATCCATTTGATTCAATTCCTGAAGATCCTCGGTAGGTATGTCAGTGTCGCCGTAGCCCCAAACATGGCTGCCGTCACCGGTTCGGTTCGCCCTTCGTTGGACCATCGTCGGGGACACGTACTTCCGGTCGTACGCCCATCCTATACACGCGAAAGCATCGATGAAACCTGTGGTCACGTTGTACGTGTAATTCCCTAGCTCCCCTGTCTTGTAATCCCACGGGAACACGTGATGGTAGTTGTGCCAGCCCTCGCCAAGAGCCGCGATCGAGACCGCCACGTTCTCCACCGGTGAGATGTATCTGGAAGATGATCGAGAGTTATTGATCAAAACTGTGGTAGATATTTCGTTTCATTACGATCGGTACAGAGGAACATAATTTAACTGTCTGGCTGCTGCACGCTACTATAATGACTAGACTACAGATGTTTATGCATACAGTAAATCCTCGATGAGTGTCCGAAAGCTCCTCTGCACTGAACATTAAATATTTCATAAACTAATGGCCATATGCGGCTGATACAAATATAATTGGCTTCAGAATTCGAAGGTCTATCACTGTGCAAACCCTCATTAAAAAGTCTACGTTACACCTGACCATCTGTCCTTGTCAGTGTCGAGGAGCCTTCGACCACTCATCGATGATTTACTGTATAGGACACGCGCGATTTTCTAGAATTCGATACATCTAAGAGTTTGATAAATTTTAATCAAGCTTCTATTCTTTTTGGAACCTGGCAGAATAGTAAATACAGTAAACAAATCTTGGTTCGACTCCAGTTCCTGTAAATTGATTCATTAAAATTTACATTTGCATGAACATTCATAGTTTAAATAATGACTTTCCGTGTATTCACTGGGTTCAGAAACGTTGGATAGTTAATCCGGTCGTTAACACTTACCTACAGACGACTCGTACCAGACGTAGATAATCCGATAATGACTAATTCGCGAGACGTTTAATAATCAACGGAAACGTTTTCTTTCATTACCGTTATGGAAATAGTGCGCCACTTAATGTCAATTGAAGTCACTCAAACGCCTAGAGCTTCAAAAAATCTTCACTAGATGGCGATAGTGAGATAAAAATTCAGAGTTGTCTTTGATTAAAGGTTAAATTGAATAATACTTTGAAATTTTTTATATTTACTTGTCGTATGGTTTTTGGCCCCACATGTGCGCCACGCTATTCACAAAGAACGCTATGTTGAGGGTCACGCAGAACCGGAAGTTGAAATTCACCCAGAAAGATATCCACAAAGATTCGGACCAGAAGTAGCACGGCACAAAGACCGGAAGTCCGATGGTCAGGAGGGCGAACAGAGGAATATAGAGTCTGTGAATACAAAGTGACATAGATTGAAACAAAATTTCGGTGAATTACACAACATTTGTGCAATATTGTGTTAACAAATGATCGAAATAGAAACATTAACCTAGGCACGTACACTACCGGTTAAAGCATAATAATTAAAGAAAGAGAAAAATACTATACTACAAAGATTTAATCAAAGTAATCTGCTAAAACAAATTGGAAATAATTTTTATGTATATACTGATTCCGTAACTATTATTATGTCATAACAGAATAATCAGTTACTGTTTCATCAATCATGAACTGGCCCCACACTTGTGGTCGGTAGAATTCCAAAAAGATACGATAAATATTATTACGAATAAATATTCATTACGAAATATCTCGAAACGAAAAGACACAATTTCTCACCAATCGAATGTCATTAATATTCGTTAATATTTTTCAAACAAGTACCCACAAAAAATGAAAAAAAAAAATTATTTTTCTTCAGCTATAATAAATTCTAGTTTCTGAAGAGGTTAATATAGGTAATAAGGTTTCCAATTCAGTACACATAATCGTATTAAATTTTAGTTACCACTGCGTTTTCATACGCGATCAAATGTGACAACAATGCGTTTCCTTTTGTTACCTTTTCTGCCACATGACGATCGGATCGGCCTCCAGGTCGCTCATGTCGACCGCTTGCCGTTTCAAAACAACGTCGGGATGCGGCGTCGTGAACAGCCAGCCCACGTGGGCGAAAAAGAAACCCCTTTTCGCGTTATGGGGATCGGCGTCGGTCTCGCTGTACTTGTGGTGCACTCTGTGATCCAACGCCCACGCGTAAACGTGTCTCTGTGCGTGCAAACATTGTCGTCAGATGTCGTTTTTGTGTGTATTGTGATATTCGATGATGGATATTTTGTTGTATCGAATTATCAGAACAAAATGGAGGAACAGGCAGAATATATGGTATGAAATTTATAATAATCGGACTGCGGATTTTATGCATTAACAAGCCTACAGTGCTCCGTGGAATACATTAACAGACAAAACTTTCATTATATGCAACTAGATTTTTGTTTTATTTTCAACTCAAGAAAATACTTTAGAAACTATAGAAATTCCTACTTTTGCTCTTGCCTTTATAGAATCACTTTGTAAAATGTTATTTCGCATAAAAATCCGTAGTCTAATAATAATGAATTAGAATCGTGAATTTATAATAAATGTAGTAAACGGTGAATAAATATAGCATAGCGAACAATAGTAACAGGAAGTAGGAAGCAGTAAGGAATGACAGAATTTTTTGCAGAAAATATATACAGCCGTATTTTTAATTTTTCGACGTCTCCGAAAAGGTTGCAATGTATTTAATGTGCTATTTAGTAAGAGAAAATGAGTTTTCTTATATATCGTTGCATTTCTGTATAAACAATAAAACTAGAAATTATTTTCTATTTCTGAAGACTAACGTCTCTCTATATTTTTCTAAAGACATTTTTTTTATTTCGTACTTTTTAGCGCAGGTGGCAATACTAGTGAGCCAATGTTTTTTTCATTATCATTAGTTAGGCAGTAACCGTAAAGAAAAAATTAAAGGGAAGTACTTTGGACTATTTGGAAAGGCAATCAAGTATAAACAAACAATTACTGGAAACAAATAATGTTATTTTTCGTATGATTGCTGATTGTTAGTCATTTTTGATAATCTGGAGAAAAAATGAATAGCATCAAAAAGAAGGTCGGCTCACCTGTCCGCTAATGGTGAACAGGAAGACCAGAAGCAGTCGCAGCGGCCATTTTGCTTTGTACGACCTGTGGGACCATAACCTATGAGCTCCGGCGGTTATGCCAAATGCGGAAGTGTATATAGTCACGAATGCTGCAACATAGTGTAAAACGTACTTTGTATATATATAGCATCAATAATTTTAAAACGTTATTTTCACTCATAGCCGTGACTTCAACGCATCTAATGTATTTATACTTTGAACTTGAATATATAACTTGACGCTCGAACGCACCAGAGGTTGTTCTTAAATTACTCGTTCGAAATCTATCGACACAATGCATTGGTTGCGTGATTGCTAGAGAATGTTACTGTCAATGTAATATAAAATAACCAGACAAATCTATAAGAATTTGAGCGTGGTAATTTATTGAACATTAATTCCTTTAGCATATTCTGTATCAATTAACGAAGAGTTTCCTTTCCCATCAACGTTATTTTCTGAAATATGAATTATTTTAATAATACCGATATCCGTCGTTAATTAATATAGAAAATGCTAGAAAGAAATTATTGATCTTCAAAGAATCATTGCGGTCCTGCTGTTGACAATTTTGCCCGGTAGGTACTGTATAATTCAGAAAAAAGTTTGCGCAAATTATATTATTAAAATCAGCATACATATATTAAATGCAGATATCTCATTTCCTTTAGGTGTTGTATATAAAATGTAATATCACGTGTGGATGCTTGACGGTCGAAGATAAAAGATAAGTAACAATGGATTGCTTTAATGACATATATTATCTTATCGTAGTCTGCGTATGCAGTTACATAACTTTCTCATCAGATTCTCAGTGTAGACATTTTGCATCTGCATACTCTTTCATTTTTATTTTCGATTACCTTGTATCTCGACTAGACGCGATTAATGTTTTCCGACCTTACAGTTCATCTGGAGCCACAAGGGGGTTACTAACGGATAAACATAATTTAGCAATTTCATTTATCTTTCACACCGCAGGAGCTGGTTCTCCGGTCATTGAAGTAGACGTCGAGTGACACACGCTATTCTTAGATTTCGAAGAACAACACGAGAAGTTATTCGCGTGAGAATTGCAGACAATTACACTGACGTCGAGTCCTCGACTTCCGGTCCAACATTAACGAATCGTTTTTCGATTCTTTTTCTTATTCATCGTTCCAAATGTTTCCGAATCAGAGTTAAAACAGCACATATTGAAAGTAGTTTCTTTCTGAAGTGATTAAATTGTTCACGATAATTATACAAACAGTAGTATTTAGTAGAAGTAGCTCTGGCAATTTTTCAAGATGGCGAAGAAAGTGTAGTCGTCAAAGCCCCATGAATGTGAAAGTGATTGTAGATTGTCATTTCTTTGTTTTCGTTTCCAATTTGGGTAACGGAAGTTAGTTTGATGCAGCTGAATTAGACGAACACGGTGGATAATCAAACTGTGAGATACCTTTTGAGACTAAATTATATTTTGTGAACTCCTGGACTTCTGAAACCAAAAGTTTCGACCGTCTTCCATTCCGCCATTTTGAAAGAAGAATTATCAGAGCTATTCATAAAATTTTTATAATTATTGTGAACGGTATATCTCTTCGAAAGAAAACTATTTTTAATATTTGACGATGAAGAGCATCGTTATCTTATGGAAAACTGTTGTTTCCACCGGAGAACCTTAATCAAACGAATCAGATTTCTTTTCCCCGTGAAATTTTAATTTATCCCAAAAGGAATGAAGAAAATTTATTAACGAGAAACTTAACGCCCGAATTAACGAACACTGATCTTCTCGACTGTGAGCCATGATTTCCATTTACAAGAACATTTGCAATCGTTTCCATTGAAAAAATCCTAAATATGGTTTCGTTGATGGTTTCCACGAGCAGATAATAAGATGTCGGTTATTCAGGTCAGTCGTTTCGTGCAGGTACGACGAAATTTCCATAATTCGTGGGATTCGTGGCCAAGAACGATGTCATAGATTAATAATAATCGTACAGGAAGTGACCGCGAGTTATTCCTGTAGCCGCGTTCTGAATTTTTGTCAACTACGCCGGCTATGACGCCGACGCACCCGATGAAGATTCGTACTTCCGTCGCGGACATGAAAATCGACCGTTAAGAGATGTTACAGACGTGTTATGTAATTTCGACCGCAGACAACGAGCGTTATTTGGAAATCAGTCGTTCGATGAAATAGGTTATAATTATAATAAATGGCAGCCATTTTCTTTTGTTGATAGATATATAGCTCAATTTTTCCAGAAATTACTAAAAAAGTAACATACAATAAGATGTGTTCCGTTCTGTTTTCTGTGTTGTTCTCTGTTCTACAATATGTTCAATTTTTAATAAACGATAATTCTCAGAGTTTAAAAGCGAACGAAACAGTAAGTGCGACTTGCTCACGCAGTGGCGAAGAGTACGTACCCATACAGGGTGAACCAGAAGACGTGATCAGCTTATTGTTAGATTACTCTACTGTCATAAGTACAACAATTTTTGTAAGATAACTATTTGCAAGATTATTGTACGTCCTAAATAGAACTAAGCAGTTGTTTCTTAGCCGTTTACGGAGTTGTTACTTAGACATTTTCTTAATGTTTCTTTGGTCTAGAAGAAAAGAAATAATTTCTTATAAAAAATTATAGGTTTGTCTATAAAAAAAACTGAAGGTGACCTCGGACACTGGAAGAAAAGTGTTGACAAAAAATTTGGTACAATCATTTTAAAGGTCTCCTTGAATCATGTTACATTACATAAAAAAATTTTCGATCGAACAGATTGCAGTAGAATAATCTAAGCTGATCACATTTCGTGGTCCAAACTGTATACAGGGTGAGCCAATAAAAATTGTCACCTGAAACAACTCGTTATCCATGGACTTTATCAAGAAATGTTTGAAATTAATTTTATTCTATTCGGGGGAGGATTGATTAAACGAATACAGTATTCATTTTTTACTACCTCGTATTTTCTAAAATATCAAGGTTATGTTGAGCTTTGTAAATGACACCAAATACTTTTTTGGTCCACTTTTGTAGCCCCTAAAAACATGAATTCAATGATCTATATATAAAGATTTTAGAAAATTTCTTCGTCACTTACCCCATAAACTGGTGAACAGCTTAGCTTCCGCGAACATCAGGTAGAATCCGTAAACGCAACCGGCGTGAATGAAGACCTGCGCGATCAGATCCGGCCACCTGATCCCAGGTACGTACTCCGTTTTGCTGCCACGATAACTCTCGTCGACCGTTAGAAAATCTTCTGTTTCCGCAACCCGCTCGTTTCTAGGATTCATCATGTTTCGCTCGATTACCTGGATCGACTCCGTTGTCAAACGAACACGTTCCTTGCACGGCTCCATTTTTCCTTTCTCGCTCTTCTCGATCTCACTGTTCCCGATCTAATGTTCCTCGCATCTGCATTTCATTTAGGGGATGCTCAGTTCGATTCTGCGATGAAAAATATCGATTATCATATTTATCGTTGCAGAAACGGTGGACCATATGACCCAAAAAAAATACGCGAATTCGCATAATTCCCTGACAGTCTGGACAGATAACTTTCCATAATTCTGTCGAAATTAAAACGAAACTATTCTTGGAATGGCTTACTCTGCCACTTTGAGTTTCGACTTTGCGAAGTCAATTGTATCGATCCCTGTTGCTTCCGTCGAGTTTCCGTGAATCGATCGATCACTGTAACATAGCATGATCACACGCCCGCGAATCGCCGGTAGTTATTAAACGACACACGTGAACCCATTGTCAGAAAGGACTGTCTATCGATCGTGGATATTGCTTACCCGTGGTATCGCGGTGGTACGTTGATAAAGTTATTTATTCTCAGATATTCTTTAGCACGAATCGCCGTCACCTACTGGTGACCCTCGAGAAAATGTCATAAGAATAATACGTGAATTACATTAGTGATTCGATCTTCGATTCCAGTAATTATTAAATCGTGTCTTGGAAGTTCCGTCGTCGTGTCATTGAAAAACGATAATATTCATTTATAAACGACAAAGAATGATTTCTGTGGATAGTCCCGGGTAAGATTGAACTACTTAATTCTTTTCGTTACATAATCATCAATATTCCAAAGTTTACGATCACTTTGAACATTTTTACAAATGCCCTAGTTTTCGTGGTGATTATTTAGTTGTTCGATGTCTTTGTCACGTTAAACCACACTAAGAAGTTTCTTCGTAAGAATACATTATCTATATTACATAATTGTACATGAAGTAGGCAACTTTATCTATCGATGGGTTCACTGTAATATTTATGAATGAAAATTACCGCTAATCCTTATTGTTCCCGCGTTAAATTAGCCTCTACGAACTACTGTTTATAATTAGACATATAATTAAAACCCTCTTCGGATGCAATGAGCTTTTTTTATTTTTTATTCTGAACCGAATGAGATACTTAAGGGAAGAAAGGAATACCTACAGTTGTTCTTGTCTTTATGAACAACTTTGTAGAGTGTCATTTTGCATAAAAATCTGCAGTCAATTTATAATGCACTACTACATTAAAACGTGCAAATATTAGGAGACAGTAGACACAATGTATATTATTCGAAAAGCTTATTCGCAACGGAGGATGGGCAAAATGATCGAACATTTTCGTACTATAATATAAAAATCGTTTCGAAAAGTGGGTGTGTGCGAATACATGCTTTTTATCTTTACCGTGACCGTTAAGCGTTCGCAGATGGCCACACTCGGAATCTTATCGCGATAGATGGGCTCCAGACACCTGGCACGAATTCTTCGAAACGTTAAAGCGACCTCTACACTTCCGTCGTTTACATAGAAATACACTCAATTGTTGTGTCACGCCATCAAATTGCAATTTTCTATTATTATAAGAATCAATTTTCGCTGTACATAACACTGGAGTTTTTTTTTTTCATTACTGTTGGATGACTAACCTTCTGTTAGTCCTTAATCAATAGACCGCCAGCCTGATAACTTCTACTTGGCCAGTGGTTCCCCAAATATGTTACTCGTCGCTATTTATTTTTTCCATTTCAATATCCAGATCGGTACACAGTTCAGTTTTCCTCTTATTTAATTGCCAAATGCCAAAGGTTACTCTCTCCCCCACTAAATGTACTTGGGCGTCCATATATACAGGGTGAGTCATTTGAATTGATCCTCGCTAATATCTTATAAACAGTGTATGGTTCCGAGGGGGAAATAGATTGACGCGAGTGTTTTTTTTGTAGGTGGACGTGTAGAGGTCGTGTGAAGGTTAAATTTATTGTTTTAACTAGAATCGTATATTTTTCAATGCATTAATCGTTGCAGTTTGTCGTAGCCTATACAGCAGGTGTTCAACTGTTTATGCCAAAATATAATTAATTTACAAGATATTTTAATTTCATAATTCCGGTAGCATTACCGAACTACATTTTTTTCTTTTCTCATACGTCCTACCCGTTCTCGTGGACCAATTCAGAAATGATCAGAATCGAAAAACAACTCGAACTATGGGATCCAGTTCGGTAATTATTTTCCATCCCATAAGGCCTTGTTGACTATCTAGACGAGAGTGGGCATTAAGGAAGAACGCCCAGCAGAGAAAACAATGCGATTGGCGCCGTGCGTCTGAACCACCCTCAACGACAGAGGGTGGATTTAATGTATCCGCGCCACTGGCGGTAAGAAGTGACACGTCGTCGCTACTCAGAAATACCTAGAATACCGAAGTGTGAGTTGTATTTCCTTAGAAAATCTTTACGAAAATTCTGGTATAGACTGCGTAGCATAATTATAAAACCACCCTAAAATTTTCAATCTTTGTGTTCTGTGGTTAAAATAAAAACAACCATTTTTTTTTCTAGGGAATACAATCTAACCTTTTCTGATAATAACTTATTACCTATAGGTTGTATCAAAAAACGTTTCAATTAATCATTTTAAGGGACGCAACATGAGGTAGATACAATTTAATTTTTTTTATTTATTTTTTTCGAGATATGAAGGTGACCTTGAGTTTTTTCAAGAGCAGTAACTTGGGTCGAATACGACCCGTACCTTACCACTAGAGCACAAGGAGGTTCGTTATTTTATTTAGAAACCATACAGAATCCTTAATAGAATAAAAAGCAGTTTTCCTATCTGACTCCAATTTCTGTGAATCAATCGATAAAAATCTGTATTCTCTCAAATACAGTCTGTTAATGAATTAGCTCAAGGTTTTCTACATAAATAAATTGCCCCTCTTGAACCCACCAATCACATTCTCAATGCACAAACAATTTGCATCCGGGGACACTTTGAAACGATCGTCCTTTCCGTCGTCGTGTTCGCTAAACATTCATTTCGGATGCAAACGATCACCCATTCGACGTAAGAAGAAAGAAAAAACGTCGCCAGATTTCTGACCCTTGGCAGCAGGTGGCAAATTACGAAATGATCACGTGTCACGTGGTCCAAGGTACTTCGTTAATTTTCTTCTTTCCCCCCCCCCCCCTCTTTACCGTCGACATCTCTCGCGTCGTCGTCGAGAAAGAAATGGTCGATTAGAAGGTAGCTCGGCTGTAAATAGCGATGATCGACGATACAAGGACGCGCGGAACCAGCGGAGAAAAAAATCTGGGCCGCATGTAGGTGCAATTACAATTAGCGTCGATGAAGGGAAACTGCGTCTGACGACAACTGTAATTACGCGAAAAAAAGAAGAGTAGAGGTAGGGAACGATATCGCGTTGCTCCGGGAAGGTGTCACGGTAATTGAAAGAAAAAAAAAAGTGTCACTGACGGATAAATTTATGGAGTCGTAAAAATGCGACAAAATGTAAGTACTGAATCGCTAAGGCAAAAGTCGTGAAGATCAGCTGGGAAATACTTTTTTTTTCGTCGTATAATACCGCCACGTGACAGGGAAACATTTAAACATTTTGAACCTCTTGAACTTCTTGGATTGGGAAAGTCTATTTTTAAACTATCCAGCTATAAAGATCGATAAAAATATCAGGTGTCGTGGCGATCAGCGACCCAATGATTTTTATCGAATTCCGTGTTTCGTTTCGAGGAAATCTCAGTAATTCTGTACTCTGTTGATAATGATCCGCGGAATAGTGATAATAAAGGCGGGAAAATTCTATTGAATTCAAATCTTGTTACCCCGTTTCGTTATAGAAATTGTGGATCACTCAATCGGTGCGTTCAATAACGATTACAATACGAATAAAGTCGTAATTGTTTCTGTTTTATTTTTTGTTTTGTTTAATAAAGCATGGAAAGAACCATGTAATTATATTGCAGGAACAGCAGAATTCTCAAAGTGTTGTGTAATTGTGCCACAAGGACGATGAGGGGACACGAGATCGATGACTATGTGCTTTCGATCGAGCCAAGTTATTTTGTCCGTTTGACGAGGCGTCGTCTTCCATTTCCAACGATACATGCTTCTAATCAGAATTTATTGTTGGGAATTTGTAGTTCACGGCCGAATCGGTCTTTCTTCTGTCCGTGTTTGTCTGAACATCGTCCGAGTAACTACTTGATTGAAGCTCAGCCGCGTGAAACACACATCGGTTGGCGATAGTAGATTCAGACGATTGCGCACAGACATCGTCTTAAAATCTAATATCGTGTTTTCGTCGAACAGGCAGATCCTGTGATCTTTGAATGTTTAATCATTAAGTGGATTAGTAAATTAAATTTAGGAGAGAGTGGGTAGATTTGGGTTAGTTTTGAATTAAATACCAGTAATGATTACAATGAAAGGGAAACATTCTTTAAATCTGAAGAATTATAATTACTAAGGTATTTACGTCGATGTTCCATCATGATTGCATTTTATTATTCCAAAGGAATTTTTAAAAATATAATAGTTCTGAAACTAGTTATTTGGCCCATACCTCCCGTATCCGAACGCTCATAGTAATGCACCTCTATTAATCGAACCACGTGTTTTAGGTTACAATTTGTATACATATGTCCCCTTGTTAATAAATAAACGGTTAAATTTCCTATAAAGAATTATAATGAAAATATAGGTCTGTGGATTATGATCTCCAAGTGCATTGTGTTTATTTCTATTTTCACAGCAAAACCCTGATTCGGTATTGGTTAGAGACAGTTTAAGAAAAAACATGATTTTTCAACTTTCTTGAAATTTTCGCACAAAACCACTAGTGTCGTTACACTTCTCTATTGACTCTTTAAAGACTGACACCTTGTTCATGGGGTTCCATTACCTTGCACGGAATGACATTGACAAAAATACTAAACGAAACCATCCAATATTTAAGTCTTGAGAACATC